ATGATAGTCACTCAAAGGAAATTTACACTTGATCTTCTCAAGGAATTTGGTTGTCTCACAAACAAAACTGCTGCTTGTCCTTTAGAGGCCAACCTTCAGTTGTATCTTGATGCAGGGCCTCCACTGTCTGATCCTTCTTCTTATAGATGCCTCATAGGAAAATTAAATTTCCTTACTCACACGAGACCTGACCTTGCATATGCAGCTCAGTTTCTTAGTCAATTCATGCAGGATCCCAGACAATTACATTGGAATGCAGCTTTACACACTCTACACTATCTCAATGACAATCCTTCTCAAGGATTATTGTTAAGCTCTACTTCTAATTTCAAACTGGAAGCATATTGTGACTCAGACTGGGCTGCTTGTCCCACTACTCGCAGGTCTGTAAGTGGATACTTTATCATGTTGGGAGGGAGCCCTATATCTTGGAAGGCTAAGAAACAACCAGTTGTTTCCCTTAGCTCTGCAGAAGCTGAGTATAGGTCTATACGACGTGTTACTGCTGAATTAGCGTGGCTTTCTAGGCTCTTATCTGAATTGGATGTTCCTGATATCTTGCCTATTCCTGTGAAGTGTGATAGTCGTGCTGCCATTTACATAGCCACCAATCCCGTGTATCATGAACGTACCAAACATATTGAGCTCGATTGCCATTTCGTTCGCGAGAAGCTACAAGAAGGCCTCATCATACTTGATCATGTCTCCACTCATGCGCAACTCGCTGACATATTCACTAAGAGCTTACCAGGACCTATACATCATCGAATATTGCCCAAGTTGGGGGTTGGCTCACCCTCCAACTTGAGGGGGGGTGTTAATAGATAAACTCATTTTATTTGTTTTCTCTTATTTGCTGAGTTGGACAAGTAGATGATGTGGCTTAGAGTCCTTGAGTATAAATACTTGCTTGTATTGTATTTTAGTTGATTTCGAAAAAAATCCTGCCAGATATTTTTCTCTCTCATTCTCGTTGGATCAGTTCCTATTTTTACGCTGCAACCTTCAGCGTTCTTCTTCCTTTCATCACGAAGATTTCTCTGAAATCTTCGCCAGACTCATGAAAATCAACACATACTCTAACACGCCCCCTCATGTGTATGCATGACTTCTTTGAGCTTTACACATAAAGACTTTTTTTTTTTGAAAGTTGAAGTCTATGAACTTGAACACTTCAGATTCAATTCAGAACTTCTAGTTCATTTTGACCTTTCAACTATTTGTTCACAGCTTTTGCACTACAATTATTTCTTAAGAAATTCTAGAGCTTATTTATGATTCTTTGGTTGCAGTCAGAGTCTGCGAAATATGAAATTTCCATCTTTTACATTAGTTCTTTTCCCATTTTGAAATAGACGTACTTTTACTTGTTTATGTTAGCTTAGAAAGTGCTTTTGTATCCATGTCTCTTTGTTCGACTCTTCTAGACAAGTATTGGATTTCATGTCCAATAAGTTTAACTTTCATCTTCCGTATTGAAGTGGTCTTACTATACCATTTACATTTTCTTAAGATGATTTCTTGTGATAAAAAATTACTACCTCCGTCCTAATTTATAACGCCTGTTTCGGTTTACGATGTTTGACTGAAATTATTTTCAAAGCATTTTATATGACAAACGGTATAGA